ATTAATTTAACTACTTAATGGTAACCGCCTAACATAGTCATGGAAAAAAATACATAAATTCAGTTGAGTCTAAGGAGGTCTTTACCTTTTTCTGTGTGTTCTAAAACAAAGCATGAGCGAGTGAAGTCGATCTTTTTGAGCAATATCCTGTCAATTCAGGGTCACCAATAAAGTAGAGAAGTTTTTGAGGTGTAAATTTACCTGTGATCTAAACTGAAGAGGCAAGTTCATAAGCATAGACCTAAGGAAATCAAGGATCTTGAAAATTTCTGCACAGAGGAAGGATGGTCCAAGATCCCATCCAATGTATTCTTCAGTCTTATTATAGATAAAGGCTTTGTACTGTTACCCATGGCAGAAGAGGTTGCATCAAGTACTAGGAACAAGGGAGCCAATAATTTTGAGAGAAAAAATGGTATTACTCATTTGAAAACCTTTATGGGCATAAAATATAGCTAATTATCTGTGCCTTTTATTTTATGCGGCTTTTTTGTTCTGTTTTTTAAAGGGTGCCAATAATTCTTGAGCCCACAGTATGAAATATTTAGGTGGCATTACCTTTTCACCAATGTTAGCATTTCTCATTAATCTGCAAAATATAGTAATATTAGCTATTAATATTATTATGATTAATATTAGACATTATTGAGTACAAATTATATTAATATAATTAGGGTTAAGATTCAACTCAGCAAATGCTAGAATATAGTGTTTGTTAGTTCTTAGAACAATGTACTACCATTAATTAAATGTCATTTACCCAAAGTGACCTGGTTTTCTGGTTTAATTCTGGTTTCTTCCAGTCAGGCCCTAACATTGCACTGTGTTCTAAAGAATGTCTGGTTTTAATCATAGTTATGGTAAGTTACACCCTGTAAAATCTTGGACTGCTTGTCTGAAAGATAAGGTAGAAACAGCTTGGGATCCCATGAGACCAAAAAGATTTGGTCTGTGTTGGATATGTTTTATCCTTTAGAAGGAAAATATATTAAAATAGATTGGAACAGTAGACAAATTACATATTATGGGGAATCATGACAATAATATGATAAAACATTATTTTAATTATGATAAGGGATAGTAACTGATAATAGTAATGAGAAAAATGATGATAACATTATAACAAGAGGGTGTAAAAATAAAGAAGGAAAATAGGAAGGAGTAAATATTACAGAGGTATGACTTTAGAAGTGCATATGAATGTCAAAGGAACAAATAGAAATTAATATCATAACTAAAAGAAGAAAAACACAATGTTCATCAAATCCAAATTTTAAATATTTTTAGCATGGACAAAACTTGATGAAGATTTCATATAAAATGGACTGATGCTTCCAATAATAAACAAAGGTGTATGTATGGGTTTATACCAGTGGTATGAGTATGTCCCCAATCAGGTAGCATCTCTCTCTCATTAAAAATTAAATTTGAACACGTTACACAAAGCAAGACAGGTTGAGTCAAGTTATCCTTAGATGGCCAGTGGACGTCTGGACCACGTCATCAGGCAGTAGTGACCACAACTCCATGCAATGCTGCTCATAAATGGCTGGGCATCACCAAGGCTAAGTGCCCTTCAGGATGCCAGGATAGGATCCTCAGGTAATGGCCAGCAGACTACCTGTGTTCTTGTATTACCTATGGGATAATCAGCATTACCACCTAGTAGTTTGATCCTGTCAGATCTCGGAGCCGAACCATAGCTAGTCTGGTCACTACTGGAATGTATGACCTGATGCTGCTGTAGTGTATATGGCTCTGTAAGTAGCACTTTTCCCTCTGAACATGCATCCCTCTGAAGTGCAATATGGTGATGGTGGACACTGTGCTTTTAGGACAAATGGGCAGCTCAAAAAACAAGATTTCCATAAATAAAAATAATATTGAGAGATTTTTAATATTTTGACATTGAACATTTAATTCGATTTCAAACAAGCATCCTAGTAACTTAATTGCTTAATTTTTCATAGTTTATAATATACAGTATACGATATAATGTTTTTGTACATTGTATTAGGCTAGTTGGCCTTTACTGTATATATTCCTTCTCATTTCTTGTGTATTTTCTATTTTTCCATTTAATTCGTGCAGTGTCCTCCTCAGGGTCTGTCAGTTGCATTTCCTGTGGCTGCTTGAGTTGGCAATGACACAGCACCGAATCCATTTATTCTGCCATACTGTACACTGAAGCTAACTTTTCTGGAATACTTAGTTCCCTTGTTAACACTAATGTGCAGTGTTAACAAGCAGGTGTCAAATATAGTTTCTGGTTGACAGCATCATCAACGTTAGGACTCTGATATTATTGGTGTGCAAAAAAGTGCAAATTTTACAATAGATGTTATTTTTCAACATACATGTAATTTGTTTCAGTTTTATTTCTGTCTCATTAGATAGAAACCTCTCAAGACTGCATCTTTTATTCTATTTTATATAACAAATAGCCCATATTTTTTGTCTTGGTAATGGTTTCTTAGCCTAATTGGCCTAAACTGTATATTGTATATTCCTTCTCATAGAGTAAAAAGAAAAAGAGCAAGCCTGAATGATATGAATATAAAATAGCTTTTTTCTCTATTTTTAGAAAAAAGGGATCACTCCCATGGCCAGCCCACATCTTGTTGGGGGCTGAGATTATCTGCACCACAATTACTTTCTTACTCCAATTTCCTTTGTGCTTTTAATGTTCTGATGTTAGCTTTCACCTACAGGTCTGTCTTCTTTCTTCACAAGAGACCCTTCTGTGTCCCATGGGTCTCTTTGTCTCTTCAGCTCCTCTCCAGGCGGAGTTCTTAATCCGGTCTGCCTTTCTGTGGCTGTTTTTCTGTTCTGAGTGTTCTCTTGGTCCGTGATGTTAACCAGGAAGACTCTACTCATCCGCTGGTCTGTCTTCCACCTGGGCTCACAGATCCCTTACCCAGCCATGACCACCAGCTTTTTAGGAACGCAAACTCCTGGCTTTCCCTCTCACCCTTACTGTTTTTTCTCCCTTATCCCATGATCAGGCCTTGCCACTTAGATGACCCTTTCCATCTGTCTGTTCAATCCCTGCAACACACCCCTGGGTATGGCATCCCTCACCACATTTTCACCGGCTGCTATTCAACTTGTCAAGTTCTGCCAGGGCTGTCAGAGAGCATTCTGGGAAGACACTCCTAACTGTGGAGCCCCCCCTCTTTCCCTCTCACACATCTCACCCCATTTGGACTGGGACACTTCACCACAGCAAGCACCAGCGCACCTGGCAGAGGAACATTTGGTCTAACAGACCCTACCCTTTCTGTGGCACAAACTGAGGTGTAGTTCATTTCTCACATCACGCCAAGTAAGAGTCTTTCCAAACAGTTGTTCTCATGTGAGTTTCCACTCTCTCTCTTCTCTCCCTTTGCCCTTATTGCCACCAGAACTGCTGAAATCAAATGTGAATGTTGGCTTATGGGGAGCTTCTCAAATAATGAATAAAACTGCATATAATTGCTTTGGTTTTAGTACTGCCAGATTTCATTTTTTCAGCTGCGGTGTCACTGAAATCTTTCTTAGACCGCATAATTTGTGTTAATAATTGTGTTATTGTGTAATCAGGGCATGAAACCCCAGTTTTGCTGTATTGAACATTTGCCCCGATTGCTCAGTAGCTCTTGCTTACACTTGCGTTGCTTGCAGATAGATAACTGGCTAGGAGTTGTGCTGAAAAATGGGACAAGGCAGGCAGGGGACAGACTAGACAGGTCTTAATTTCTTTGTCAATTTTCATGCATTTTATTCTGCACAGATTTAATCTGATAAAAAAGGAGGGGCATACTCTTCCTACTTTTAAATGTAAGGGACCCTTGGATGTTTTGACCCCCCTTTCTCATATGAAACATGAAGCAAAGGTCCTTTCTACTTTGTGATGATACTTCGCTTACCTTATCTGTGGAGGGGGGCCGCAGGTGCAAAGTGGGTGCAGAGGGTCCTCTCCCGTGTGTGCAGCATTCTGGGATCCCAAATTATTATTAGCCTTGAGCCCAAGTCACACTTTTGTTTCTGCCCTGCTGAGTGTTCTGTGAGGTTCACAATGTGCAAAAGACAGGGGGGGCATAAACTACGAAGTCCTAATGTGTAAAGACTAAATAAATAGGAACAGCTGTGTTTTGAAAGTGCTTTATTGCAAAAACATATGGGAAAAGAAAAGGTAAATAAAAGCTTTATTAGTTTCTGCCTCGGTAAAAGGTGAGAGCCTTAAAGATTAGGAGGGTGGATGGAACCAGGTCAGCAGCAGATGAGTCCAGAGGAAGAGAGCCAAGTCTCTGCCATCCCACAGAGCAGTGCTTCTCACAGGAGCTGCTTGCAGTCTTATTCCAGACACAATTTCTGAAGCATGAATAATGCCGTAATGAAGAAGTGCCATCTTTGTTTTGGAATGTGTTAATATTTATAGAAGTAGAAAATTTTGATTTAAAGACATGGTATTAGAATCCAGGCTATACCTGCTTAATATTGTGGGGAAAAACATAAAAAAACAAACCATTCTACTTGTAAGGATTTTAAGCTTGTGTAATTAATGTCTTTACATATTATCAGTGGTATAATGTGTTATCCCACATTATTTAACCATGAATTAGGTTAAGGTTAAATTCATTGTCATCTCCGCACCAGAGCATCTTTAATTTTGTACTGACTTGTAACAGTGAAACTAGTGCTTGACAAGTTGAACATTTGCTGCTTTGAAAGCCCATTTAGTTTAAAGACAAAAAAGGATATTTTAAAACAAAGCAAATTTCCATTTAAATTTTTTACTTTTGATTGTGCCTAACAAATCTTTAAAAGTAAAAATTTATTAATGAATGTCTGGTGTGCATCTACTTAAAAAGCAAAATGTAGCACCAAAAACGGCATTTTATTGATACTGTATTGCATTTTTTCATATTTTCATGTATTTGTAAATGATAGGTTACTTGTTGTTTGTTTGTTGGTCTAGTTACATCACTGCTGTGTTCTTCTCATTCCCTTTTTTCCAGAGGGACGGGACTCAATTTTGGAACCACTGTCTTTGCCAGAAAGGCCAGGCTGTACTGCACCTCCAGACAACAGCATGCCAGTACCCTGCCTCCTATGTACAGAGTCTTGTTCTCCTGCTGAAAAGGAAGCACTTCTGAAACATATGGTCCTTGAACATAAGCTGGTCATTTCTGATGTCAAACTTATTGCTGACTTTCAGAGGTAAATGTTCACTTACCCTGCAGTGAGATCTAAAAGACTCATCACACTGTTCCCTTCAATGCTGTAAATATAGTGAATGTTGGTTATTGAATTCTCTGTCTAGGTTTTTTATGCACGTTTAAGGTTTTACTATTTGAGCCAATTTTTTATAAATAAACCATCTTTTACGAGACCAATCACTCACCTCTGTTCTTCTTTGCATCCCTAGCAATGAGGCCATCACATTTTTCATCTGTCTGTTTAGAGCTGCCAGATGGTCAATTGTCTTTGCTTTTGGGCTAAAACCTCGTTATTAAGCATTAAGCAGTGGGATAGACCAAAGGTTTCTCAGGCTTTAAGTGTTAAGACTTTTCTTATCTCTGAATAATCCAACACAAATTTCCTAAGCAGGGACTGCAGTCATTTTCTTCTTATTAGTCTTCGGTAACTTATTGTGTTGTATAGCTGTAGTGTTAATATGGTTGTAAATATGGTTGCTATTTTAAGTGAAAGTATATCTTACTGTATATTTTATATATTGCTATATTAAATTATAGTTACATTCAAGTACTTCAGATGAATCAAACTTTTGATTAATAAAATTGGAATTAGTGTCACTAAGCTCTTAACTTGCCATTTGTGTGTGGTGTAGTGTTACAAAATACCCAACATACTATGTTGTACTCTAAAGTAATAAAAATAAAGCATCGTATAATTGGTAATACTCTTTGCACTCCAATTAAAGAGGCTTTATGATTAAAGTAGCTTAATTCTATTTAAATTGTTGTAAAAGACATATATAAAAGACAAACATCAGTAAAGTTTAATCAGTCTTATCTGGGTATGTACCGTATATGGTCCAGAAAGTCTCCTCTCTTAGTTTCTGTTTTCAATAACCAGACCAAAATTTCATTTTTAAAATGGAAATCCAGTGCAAATCCAGCATAAAGTAATTTGGTAATGCTTTTCAGAAGACATTCAGATGCTGTTTAATAATTATTTGTCCAGGACACCTCCATATTGCCAGTCAGAAGGATCACTCTTCATTGCTTCCTGATTTAAGGAAGATGCCCTTCAGTTGTGCCACAGTTGTACTGATGGGGTTTGACAAATGCTCATTGTAGTGTCCTTGAAAGCACTGAAATATCTACATGGGTACTTCCATTTCTGGTGTCTGAGTGCAAAGAGCATTACCAATTATATGATGCTTTATTTTTATTATTTTAGAGTACAACATAGTATGTTGGGTATTTTGTAACACTATTTACAGCACACATAAAAGACAGTGTTCACTACTTAAAAATGACACAAGTCACATAATTAATTTCTACTATTCAAAACAAAGTCCTGTTATTCATCACTGGTTTTGAAGGCTTTGAACATTAAAATGTTTAACAATCCATAATTGACCAGTAATTCGTGTAGAGATTTTGCTTGACAAGCTGTATCTCTTCACTGAAGACCTAGTATTTAGTAGTATGTGTTTGGAGGAACTTGTTTTATTCTTCTGCCTACATGCTAGGTGAAGGTAGCAACAGTCATGGGTGGAAGACCCAGGAATAAATTTCTAACTTGCATGCAGCAACTTTTCCTATGCATGGGGCTGTTTGGAAACTGAACACTGAAGCGGTGTGATGAATGTGATATATCTGTCTTCAGCACACTAACACCAGTTCATGAATCAGCTGGGGTTTTTTCTCTTAAGAGATTTGGGATTAATAGCATTAGCTACACTCAAATAATCTGTACTATATGAGCCATATATATCTTCATTCCTGCAGACAGTTATGGATACCTTCTTTAGATTTTAGCCAGAAGGGATGGCATACATGCCGTGTTCCAGCTTTACAGAATTTATTTTTCCACAACACACCTCTCTGTATTGAGCACTTAGCAATAACTGTCTCTTCACTAAATCCAAATTCAGCAAAACGTATTAATTGCCTTCTGGGTGTAGGGTTACATCTTTTGACTACTATTATTCAGATAATTAAGATTAAAAAATGATGTGATTATTCTAAACTTTAATTTCTTAAGAATACTTTTTATGCACGTGTATGTCTCATTCTACAGAATAAGTGTTCAACCCCATACATATATACATGTATAACAATTAGGAAACTGCAGGTCTCCAATATGAGTTATACAGGCTCAGTGATGTGCATCACCTGTAAGCTTTGCATGTATGATTGACAAGGCAAAACACAGCAGATGCATTGTTAAATAAAAAGTAGTGTTTCTTGTTTTAGAAGTGTTAGATTTGTAGTGGTTTTAAGTGGGGAAGTTGAATTGGTTAAAGTTAAGTTTAACGTAATGTAATAAGGTAAAAAACAAACGGTAAAAACAGAACACTGGAGGTATGTTACTACTGTTGTTCTACTCTGACATCCTGCTTTCCAAATAATTAGGTGTGGAGAAAATGTTCACCATTCAATTTGTGCAACTAATGAAACAATTAGATTTGTTTAAGGAATATTTAATTTAGGCTCATGAGTATTTATTGTATTGATTATATTGTCTTATTTATGACTAATTACAACAAAATGTTTCTGTAAAATCCTATAGTCACTAAAATCTTTGAAGCCTTGAGGAGATACAGTAACTGTTTCCTCTTTCACACTGTACTGTGGGCACCTGGCAAAGGTGTTTGTATCTAGTTTAGGGTCCTTTCATATTAAATGTTTGACTTCTCTGAAAATAGTTACTTTTTTTCTAATTGTGCACACTGTATGCCAATCAAAGAGAAAAAAAAGAATTTGTAAGCCTATTGTATTTTTTCCACTTCTTTCAGAGATTCTGTAGCTAAAGTAAAGTGCTGATGACACAAATGTGTTTCTATATCTCACAGCTGACACTGTCCAGTGAAAGGGCAGGGGTTAGCTCAGCTATGCAGCATGGCTTCTGTGAGAGTTTTTCAATAATCAGAAACACAAACAATGGTGTTAGCTTGCTTCATTTAATTTTCCTTTTATTTTTGTGACTGAAGGTTATTTTTTTCTTGCATCTAACCAAAACATTAACACTTAAATTTGTTCTATTTGTAATTCAGATATATCCTGTACTGGAAAAAACGATTCGCCGAACACCCAATCACTGAATTCTGCAGTGTGATCCGGACAAATTCAGAAGGCCCCGTTGGTAAGCCCAGATTAACAATAAACAGAAAACAAAGTCGGGAAGATTGTATTGCAAACTAGAGATCCAGGAAATCCATGAGGAATGAGGATTTATTTGTTCATTTCTGAAATAATACCTTCTATTATCATTGCAGTGCTAAGTCTGTTATTATGTTTGTGTTAGTTATAAAATCTAGGTTTTCTCAGTGCTGTTTTACAAGTCATGTTGACATCCATTGCTGATTCTTTCTTTAATCTCATAGGTCCCTTATTTGTGAAGCAGCAGTTATGAATAGAATGTATGCCTCTGCTTACACTTTTAAAGAACAATAGATATGTTTTTTTCAAACATGTGATAAGACAGTAAAGAAAAGGGATCTTTAATCCACACCTCAAAGCATGAGCATTCTTAATGATCCCTTTCCCAGGGAACCTTCAATTGTGATTCAATGCTTCCATGTAAAAGTGTGCACTTTTGATGTCTGTCCTTCCATGTGAATATGTCCTGTCTTTATTTGTTGAAGAATAATGAATGATTAAACCAAGTCAACTAGATAAACTTATTAACATCCTTATAATATGAGAAAATGTTTTGAATTTGAAAAATTAATTGAAAGTATTGATGATTCTATACCAAATCTGAGGAGGATGTTTTTTCTTGATCAAGCTTTAATACCATACCTGTAGGTGAACAGTTGGTAGTCTGTTTAAATGTTTTCAGTCAAAGTGAACACAGTATATATACACAACAGGGGTGCCCAGCTTCTGTCCTGGCAGGCTCCTTTGTATGCAGGTTCCAACTGCAGCTCAGCTCTCAATGATCCAACTGAACGAAATATTGGCAGTTTAACAGCTTTTTCCAGCTCTTAAGATGCTCGTGATTTAAAGGTATGGCCCTTCTTGGCTGAGTTTGGGTACCCAGATTTACATCAAACCCATGCAATAGTGACAGAAATTGCATGGCTTTTTCTTCATACATGAATATACAGACGTTAAGTATTAAAATATGCACAATAACTACAGGCAAGACTGGCCAACATTTGTATCCAACTTGCCAGAGGTTTCAGTGAATGTATCAACAGAGCAAAGCTCAATGTACAACTTTTCAGATTATGATGCTGGTGCTTTAATCTTTTATTTATTGATACAGGGTTGGATGCTCTCAGTTCACAGCAGTGTGTTATTTTCCGAGTTACTCTACCAATTTATGCAGTTTAGTTTCTGTTTCTATGTGGATAGAAGGGCTATACATAAGCTGAAGGAAAAGGTAAGGAATAGCTGCTAGTGTTACACAACTAGGAGAAATCTCATCTACAATGGACTGGGAAATAAACACCCATTTCTCAGTTCCAAAACATGTTTTAAAATGGTTATTCCCTTGAAGGTATTCAAAACTGCAAATAGAATGTAATAAGACATGGCTAATTCTTGTGTACAGTGCCCACTTATCATGTTGTCAATGTACAACATGATAAGTGCCTACATTTTATGCCTACATTCAATGGCACATGGTTGGTTCAGAATTGTGTTTTATATGTTGTTGTCATTACTGTGTTAAAATGTTTCTCGCTTTCATCTCTAGTTCAAAATCTGAATGCTTAGTCATTTAAGTATTAATATACTGTGACCACAGTGATGTTTTTTTTGTGTGGTTTAAGTGCATCTGTCATAAAAACAGCTTGCCCTGAAACACACCCTTTAGAAACTCAGGCCCTCCCACCACACCTGCTGTATAATGACTGTCAGGGGTGAAAAAACGACCACAGTTGTCAGCAAAAAAGTGCTAATCTGGATTTAATAATACGTGTGACATAGAGGTGGCATAATGGTGAAAGTTTCATGAGTGTTGAGTTTAAGAAGGATGATAATAAACATGTACATTGACAAGTTTACTGTAAAATGTTTGGGTGTTTCGTTGTTAATAGTGGTATAGAAAAACATTCTCAGATATGTTTTTTTTTAATTTAGTTTAAAATTAAGTTGTCATCTTAATACATTTTGTTGTTCAAGGTCATGTTTATTTGTACTTGTTAGCACCTTGAGTCCTCAAAACCATCATTGAAGGATAAAAGTCATAATTAGTAACTGCAGTGTCTCTAGTATCACATACAATATGTACAATTTATTTTTTTAAACAATTTATCATTTCTATTTAGATTATTTAATTACAGTCAGGTGTCTATTAATTAACATTTTTCTCCTCTTTTTCACACATTTTTATTAGTTTGCTTGCTAATAATGTTTCCTTTCCGAGGGAAAGAAATGATCTCACTTCCTCTCGGTAGTTCTCATTGCTGTTTAGTAACCTCTGTTTTTGGTCAGCAATCTTCCCTAGTTTAACTCGCGACACTTTTTTAAAATAATTAAGCACAAGGGGAAAGACAAGAATCCAGCGATAGTAAAATCTAAGTTTGGTTTGTTATGTGAAAAGCATGTTGATTTCAGGAACTTACAGACGAATTTAAAGACGAATCATGTGGCTATGAAGGTACACTCAAGATTTAGAAATAGACTACATATGAGTTGATTGTATGTGCAGCACCACTTGTGATTTGGGCCTACAGAGATGTCCCACCAGGTTTGATAATGATAAGCTAAATTCTGGAGAATGTCAAAGAATGCTTTGTCTGATAGCTGAGGCCAGAGATCAATATAATTAAATATTTAATAATACTAAAGATAAATATTGCCAGAAATAGAACAAATGTATGTGCAGACATTTAGCACAGTGGTCAGGTGTTGCTGGACTTCTAATTGGAGGCTGTTGGATCAAATCCCAGGTGAGACACTGCTGTCGTATACTTGACCTGAATAGTTCTAGTGAAGTACCCAGCTTTTTAAATGGGTGCAAATGTAAAGTCGCTTTGGATATAAGCTTTTGGATATAAGCATCAGTATAAACATCAGCCAAATAATCTAGTAACAGCAATAGGCAAACATTCAACTCAGGTATATCGTATATCAATTATACGCTATACGGGCGGAGCGGTGGCTCTTTGGCTGAGGATCTGCGCCTGTGGCTGGAAGGTTGCCGGTTCAAATCCCGCAGCCGGCAGAGGAATCCTACTCTGTTGGGCCCCTGAGCAAGGCCCTTAACCCCAACTGCTCCAGGGGCGCTGTACATTGGCTGGCCCTGCGCTCTGACCCCATGCTCTATCCCTATCTGTGTGTCTGTGTGTCTCATGGAGAGCAAGCTGGGGTATGCGAAAAGACAAATTCCTAATGCAAGAAATTGTAAAGGGTTAATAAAGTGATGATGTTAATTGATTCTATGGGACTTATGTTCCAAAATATTCTTTTGGCAGGCTTTCATTCTCAAAAACTAAAAATGGACAGTAACAAATGAAACATTGGGCAGTAATGTCATATTTGGAAAGCACTGGTTTTCTTCTTGATATTCTTCCACAGTCACATTAGCCAAGGCAGGAGTGGCCTGTAATTCCTTGGATGTTACTCTTTCTTTGGAACTTCCTTGATGATTTTGCAGTTTGTTCTTGGAAAGATTTTGCTTGTTTGACAATGGATTGGTAAATCCTCAGAAATTGTTTTGTAGTTGTATGATGCATTTCCTGACCGATGACCCTAAATTGCTTTTTACATAAGAGATTTGCTAGATCATGGCGTGGCTTGTTTCCACATACCTGTGTGGTGAAGACCAAACTCACGTTTCTGATCTTCATATACTGTAGGTGGGGCATTCATAGCTGATCCCCCTAGATCTACTTAATTATTTAAACATCTGGTTCTAATTATCCCCTTTTTTGAACAAGCAATACGAGGGGTTTGCTTACTTTCTCATATCCCCTGTACCCTAATTACTCATTGTTCATGCGTCATTTTGTTTTAAGTGACATGGAATTGGTAACTATAAACTCTATTGGATATTTACATAATGACTGGTTTTGGTTCAAGAAGGCTATCATGGTAAAACTATTATATTTGCATATTTATTTTTCGAGTTCACAAACTTTTTTTTGGCACTGTAGATAAACTTCAAACGTTGCAGAGCTTTGTTCTCATGACTTTACTGTGTGCAGGAAGATAAATTTCCCTTTGTCTTGTGAAATTGCAGAAAGACAAGAGGATTACTTCCTGTTGTGTGATGTTTTACCAGAGGACAGAGTTCTCAGGGAACAGCTTCAGCAGAAGAGACTAGTAAGTACTTCACAACAACTCACAAACACAGTTCAGTGGTAATACTTTATAAATTGAAGCACACTAGTCACTGGCATTATTTTGGCATGGCAATAATTAGATATAAGATCATTAGGAAATAAGAGAAGTTAGACAAATAAACTCAAATGACTTTGTAATCATTCTGAATTTGTACCTTTTATACAGTATGTAGACATGTAAAGCACATATTGGTTTGTTTATTGTGTTCTCATGAATAACAGATTTATGGGATCAGAATGGGAATTCAGAATTCATGATGGGATTTTAACAGGATTGGTTATGCTTACAAAACTCTCCAGTACTGTACAGGCCAAAGCTGCAAAGAAAAGCTTGCTTGCCTCTATACAGTTCTGTATTAAAAATGCAAAGCTGCCAATCTGATAGTTCATGGAAGACAGCCTGGTCCTTCAAAAGTGCTTTCAGCTGCTGCAAGTGCATTGCTTACCATTTTCTGTTTTAGATGAAAGCAGATCCAAAAAGGCAATACTATGTCCAGACAGATAGAATATTGCATAAACAGTTGAACTATATGAATATTTATCAACCTTCTCAAAAGGAAATAATGTATAACAAGACTGCTAGTATTGATCTGTGAAAGCTTCTCATTTACAACTGCAGATAAAGCCTTCTATCACGCATATTTAGCGGCGTGTCACCAGCATGGCTGCCCATTTAGTCCTAATCTTTTCAGAGTCCATATGCGTACTCGTTTCGTTATTCATTTCCCTCTCTTTTCAGTGTTATCTTATAACATTTTCAGTGGATTTACTGCAGCAGCTGAATAACTGTTCCAAAATTGGTACTTTGTGATTTTAGTCAATAACGTTCTTCATTCACAAATTCCTGAGAGTATTGCATGAAGCAGAAAAGTGGAATAGTGTTATTCCTCTACAGTGGCTTTCTTTTCTACTACATACAGTATAGCTTTTATTTCTCCATTCCTTACCTTTTCATGTTTTATTGTACAGTCCATAGAGTACAACCCATAACTCTTTTAATCATCTATACAATTTTAGATGTTTTAACATTGAAAACTTCTTTCCCATTACTCTTTTTATATTAAACCTTATGCTCATTGGATATCTAAACTTATTATACTGTATTAGGTTTTAATTAGACATGGTCTTAATCACTTTTGGATTTTAATGCAAACACGTATTTTAATAGATTATACAAGCATTCATTTTGTAAGAAATTGTTTTACATTTGGAAGAATTATCAGACGCAGAATGATAATTTATTGTTTTTAATAACTCACTAAAGTCAGTACAAATGCAAGGAATTTTTGTAATTACTATTTTCAGGTGTTGTTAGTCTTAGAATAGAAAATGCACTCTGTGTTTAACAGGCCTAACAAAGTACTGTAATTGGGCTTCATTAAATTTGTTTTCCACTTAGAACATGCATGAGTATTTACAAAAATGTTGCTCCATCTGTTACTCTGAGTGGAAAATTGCAGAACCCTTCTTAGTAAACAAAGATAATATGGCTTTCAGGAACCATTGAAGCTGCATGTAATGCTCACTTCACTAGGCACTATGGGTTCTTTTGACTTGAGGATCAAATGTGATTGTCCTATAACAAGATGGACAGCCATTTTTATTTCTGAATATGAGTTTCTCGCCATTGAAATTAAAAACACTCAAGTTTAAGTTAGTTCAATGTCCTGGGAACGATTAAGTATAAAGACATTCAAAAAGTTGTCTTCCTCCTATATAGTGAATATTGTGTATTGATTTTCACTTTGTAAAGGATATTCCAATTAGCCAGATGGCTACAGGAAGGACAATTTGAGGATCTCAAATGGCTATTTTTACATCAGAATCCTGGGAGCCAAAACACACAGAAAAATCTGTGTATTGGTGGGGGTGGAGATACCATCTGTTCCTAAAAGAAAAAGCAAAAAAAAGGAAGGGGAAAAACCTGTGGGTAACGGTTAATTACATGTTTCCCGGGCTATATGTTGCTCGTCCTTTGTTTATGTTGTGAATACACAGACATCCTTACAAAATAATGACAGGAACCATGTCAGAAACGAAGCAGTATCCTGCTTATGTGTTTATTTAAAAATGCCCTGAAAAACAATAAATACTAAAGAATAATCCGAAACTAAAACAGTAAAACGAATCAAACGCTGAAACAGAAAGACCTGTTTCTTTGTGAAGGATAAAATGAACATTGTACATGGTGCTTCATTTATACTTCAACTTGAAAAGACTACACCGGAGAAAATCTACACTGAAAGTGTGGAAGTGCCCTTAGCCTGGTTATGGTTTTGTAATTGCATTTTTAGGTTAGAAACCCTAATGCTTCATATAACAGCACAGAAATGAGAAAGATCAAAAAGTGGGATCTCTGTCCCAGAAACAAGAATAACTATTTCTTGTGGCACGTATCTGGTTTACCGCCCTGCCTGTTGCACAGTGGTAATATATCAGTCCATCAGCTGCACTAAGCAGCTAAGAGATGAGAGCTGGCCTACAAAGTGCTTTGTGGCTGACCTGCCATGACTGCCAACTGCTGTTTTGATTAGCAGCTGGGATAAAGAAAGATTCTCATCTGGTGTGCGGTGATCCCTGAGTGGTCACTTTGGTCCTCAATCTTCTGAACTCATTCATAGTTAGACGGCAGGAGAAATTAGGAGCATCTGCAGTTACCGGGAGGGAAGTAGTATGTTTCCAGATTTTGATTCTTTTCGTATTAAAGAAAAGCACCGTCTTCCTCTTGGTCTCATGTGTAAGCACGCCGCTATATTAATGCAGCTCCAGCTGTGTATTTGACTCTAGGCCTTATTTGAGTGCTGCTCTGTTTTGTCTTTCTCTTTTTTTACCCTTCTGGTGAGTCATGTATTCAGTAAAGATTTGACTATCTCTCTACGCTACCTTACAGTGTGTACTGTATATACTGTATATATTTCAGTATCTTAAGACTTAAGAGAAAAAAACATTTAAGAAGCACATTTAAGAATTCTTTCAAATGTACTCAGTTGGCATTACAGTCCCAACTGAATTTTTGGCAATAAACATTCTGTAATTTTGACTTGCTTGCCGCCACATACACTATTAAGTGATACACAAAAGATATAGATTTCAATCCTGTGAAACCATTACTAATAGGCAGAGAAGATTGTGCCCTCGTTGGGGAAAAAAAGGCATTTTTGGTAGAAATCTAGTTTACTTCAACATGATAACATTAAAATCCAATTACAGTAAGTATTCTTACCGAGGTAATTTTGTTTCTATTAGTTACAGTCACAGAGACATATTATAATGTGTGCCAATTTTATGTTGGATCTGATTTGCACAAAAGTGGGCAGCTCAGCATTGCTTTGTTCAGACTGTTTACTAAAAAGCCTTTGGGTCATAATATAGAGAAATACTCTCCTGAATCAAGATTTTCTACATTTTAAAAAATGTGGTTCATATTTTTTTAGCACTGTGCAGGAAAGAGAGGTGTGAAATGCATTATATTCAAAACAATGGGCATATTGTTAGATCTAAATTTAATTAAACAGCAAGATGTGCGGTAAATAAACTGATTTGTGCACAGATGTTACCTACTGTCTTGACTTCTCCTTGTTGCCTCTTTATCCCTCTGTACAGTTGCTAACTAATGTTTAAAATGGGCACTACCAGTGTAATTTATAACATTTGTTATAAAAATATTTGTAGTCTTGACCCTTGGACTCCCTCACTTCTTAAGAGTATACAACAGACATAAGATCCATTTTCACAAGCAAAGTAAATCCCCTATTAAGAATCATTCTTCTCTGAGACCTAAACACTGCTGAAGCGAAACTGCTCTAAAGCAAATAAAGCAGTCTCAATGTTTTGGGAAATTATTCTATTTTTTATTTCTTTCTAATGTGATTAATAAGGCTGTGGCAGGCCAACTTGATGAACAATTCCAGAGAAAATATTCGTTGGAGAACTTCTGGGTTTCGTTCTTAATGAAACCGCCTTGCTGAAAGACAAAAGGTCTTTTTGCAGCCTTTGAAGTGGGTTATGTAACATGTAGGTCTGTAAGCATTTAGCCAACATCTAAGGCCTTGGACCTGCGTGCCTCTTGTCTGTGGGTCTTCAGTATGTCTCTGTTAGAAAATGTAAAACTCATCTGCATGCTACAGAGCCTGTTGGTCCTCAGGATGTGTTTTGGGCTCCTAATTGTTTGTTTTTTATGTTTTTATATTGTATGCATTAATATCAGGCAGTAACATCTTGGCTTTCACATCTGTGCTAATGACATGCTAATTTCTGAATTGTTTCCAATGCAAGTAGATGTAACATTGTTTGCTTTTACGCACTATTTAACTGAAATACAGTATTGGCCATAACGCGGCTAAAGACAGTAGCGGCTAAAGCAGAGTTTTTGTTTTAACTGATTTTCAGAAGTGATTAGAAATTAATTCCTTCTGGGGTTACTTTTATAGGCAAATCTGTTTTACTATCAGCATATGGAATGAACCTGGGTGTTGGACCCTGTTACCCCTCCACAGTATGTCAATGACATCAGAAATTGTACTAAAAAAATTAAAAAGTCATTTGTGGCCTGAGGCTTCTCATGTTCCTTGTGATTCTCCGAGATCACAAAAATAAGATTTTTTTGTATTGTTCCTAGACATCAGCTTATACAAGCTGGGGCCAGCAGTTTAACTGCCAGCATGAGTAATGCTGACGCCTAACCTCTCTTTAATTTCTGACTGAAATCTATTGGAATATCCTTTTGTGTTACTGGAGTAGGTTTTGTTCACAAGATTGGTTTTGGTTACATATGTCTTGAAGTGGAGAGTACTGTGTAAAACTAATACTGTACAGTGGAATTGGGGATGCTGGTACTCCTACACTCTGAAATGCTGATTCTCTGCACTTACACAGAACAGTTTCGTTCTCATCTTCCTGATGTGTTTTAATCATTCAGAAAGACTGCAGAGGAGAGGGAGCACAAGCTGTTGAAGCATTAAAGGAGAGCCACCCCCCCCCCAAAGAGAACTAGAAAACTATTTGCTTTCAAATTGTTACTATATGAAAGTGCTATTAATTGTACGATTTGTCAAATTGGCATTACATGCCTGCATGTGAACATTATGTGTGTTCAGGCTTCACATACCCAAGCAACATTTAGAACTGAATTTTGGTGTAAAAGGGTTTCTGTCTCTGTTTAAGACTGTCTAGTTGAGTGCAGTCTTTTCCTATTCATGGTGTTTTTTTGCAGAACAATAGGATCATCCTGAGAGGTTTCTTATATGCTTTTAAGTAAACAATGCATTTGTAGTTGAGGTGTTAAGGTCTTTATTATTATGATATAAAGAGCACCATCTTGAGCACCATCTTTTGGAGAAAAGAGATACTGCAGGTATATGGAGAACTGTGTCTATACTATAGTCTTTACCAAATATTATTCATCATATATTGAAAAGCTACTGTGAATTTGGCTTCACATTTCTTACAAAATGAACTCGATGCACACAACATTAGGTTTGCATATCAAAGTAAAAAGAAGCAGTAGTCCACTTCAGATTATTCTGCATATTGAAGTTGATGCATATTTTTAAGTGTATTGGGTTTATCATTTAAGGTTGTAAGTAATAACACACTGTAGATATATTGATGTATAATACAATTGAGGAATATGTCAATTATAGAATATTTTTAATTGTTCTTGCATGATTTAAAGATCTGGAGAACAGCAAAGCGAGTCTTATTTTACATAGTACAAAGCACAAACAAACATACGTACAGTGTTGCAGTTTTTACAAGATGCCTAATGAGTTGAAAATCATTATTGCTGTTACCAAAGTCATTGCAAATATCTGGATGAGAATCTTGTCTTTAAGGCAAAACTGGTTGCTAGGCAACTCAGTGAGGCAACCTACATTTCCCATCCCCCCATCCCGAGGTTATTGCATAAACACTGACACCTCTACATGCCTTTTATAACACTACTTTCTTACCATTTCATTTCTTCTGCCTTCCATTCACATAAAAGCCCTTTTCACCATTTCTAAAAGGAGAAGTTTGAAAAGTGTTTCATTTCTTTTTGTTCTCTGTGGTAGTAATTGTGACATACTTAGATTTAAAAAAGAGAAGTATAATAATGAACAGAAACTTCTAATAATAAAATATAGTGGAAAATCCCTGGTTTTCATTAAAGAGGTCCCCCTCAACATGCCCCCCACCTCCTTATTTCAGGAGCACTTTTTGGCTTAGTTAAATATGCTGGTTTTACGCTTAACAATAAAAAAACAATAAACAACATAAGATGACCTTCCATGTGTAATAGTTGTTGTGATTCAATTGTTTTATTTATAGACTGCTAATGTACTGTAAGTTGATAAATATCTAAAACAAACACCAATAGTACTTAAACTTCTGTTTAAAATGCACAAGCCTTTTACTGTTTTTCACAGCTCTGACAGGCTGGTTGTATTTCTTTATATCTCCCATTTCCTCTGTTACATTTTTAATTTAGGTATGGAAAGAGTTGCTTATCAAGACTGGTAGATTAAGTTAAATTAAAATTAAATTACTTTTTTGTGTCTTTTATTAGACTTAATAAGCCAATTTAGACATACCCTACACGTTGTTTAACAGTGTCCACTGGGAATATTTGAACAACTTCTGATAGAACAGAAGCATTCGAAATGAAAGATTTTTCCTTTTTAGCTGTACGAAAAAAATAACATTGGTGTCCCTTACTGAAATGCATATACTTGTTACATTTTTTGTCATAAGACATGTCTTCATTCGCAATTCAAAAGACTGGGCATGAGTTTAAATCAAGTTATGAACAAGCAGACTGCAACAGACTATGACAACGTGGTGTGTCAGTAATGAATACAACAAGGCATCTCATTCATCACAGCAGAGGTTAGTTCCTTTGGCTTATTTTTAAGGTTAATGGCTTCATTAAATTGCATTGAAAATATTTTGCAGTTTTCTTTCTAACTGCAAAAGTGCATCCCCCTAAAAATATGGATAGCGCTGTTATCATGCCCTTGGTCAAGGAACTGCTCTCTTTAACCCCCTAATTTTTAGACGAGGATTCTCGGAGAAGTAAATGAAGTCATATGCACTCAGCCACTGTTATTAGTCACTAAAAAATGGGGAACTTACAGATGTTTTGCAGTGTAGTGCCCTTTTTATTTAAAAAAAAAAGGATCACATTGACACATTAAATTAAAATGCCCCTTAGTGAAATGTCTGTAATGTATAAATATTGAATAGATTATTGATAACAAAGGTATACAGCTATTTCATTGGTATTGAGAAATCATTAGAGCCAGATTGATGTAAATTGTGGATTCTTACAAGGTAAAGTGTTTGGACTGCTTTTCTTCTTAATGTATTTGCTAATCTATGTAAATGGAGTAAATTGTAATTTTGAGCTCTTTGATGAAGTGTATGACACCCAATACTCTTGATTCATCTTAAATTGTAAGCCTAGAAGCAATTAAGAAATGGACAGATACAAGGAAATATAGGGAATGTGAAGTGTGCATGTGGTGTAAGAAAATAAGACTGCATTCTACAGTGACCAGCATAAGAAGCACCCATTAGGGAAATAATTGAAGTATTGTAATGTAAACATTTATAATGTGTAATTCATTTTAGTTCTCAATTTGTATATGCTTGCCTTTTGGATTTTAATTCCATATCCAAAGATTGTGTCCAAGAGTGACACCTTTTCACTTTCTGCATAATTTCAGAAATACAGAAAGACCACCTTATCATCATTTAACACTCAGAGACCTCCCCGATGATCATATTTTTAAAAATCACACAAAGCCATGATTCTCTGTTTATAGTTAAGTTATAGGACTATAACTTTATAGTTATAAGATATTGTTAAGTTTTTTGTTAAATCTGGTGGCAAACTTACATTTGTGTTCACCCTTCTTTTGCTCTCATTTATTTATGTGAAAGAAGGGATTGTAACAGGTCTGAGGCCATCTTGTCAAAAGAGTGCCCTTTAAAAATCTCATGCAGTTTAAACAGATACATTTTCAGTAATTCTGTGTGCATAACAGCAACTGGTTGGCACAGTTTCTTGTTGACTGCCTTGTGAATGAACTCTTAATAGAGGTCTGATCTAGTTTACACCCAAGCTCTGCCAACTTTTTTCTTTACAACAGGCAGAAGGAATTTTCATTTATGGTGGGGGAGCTTTTGAGGAAATGGAAGCCATTGAGATGTACGTAATTGAAAGGGTATTCTTTTAAAACACAGGAAAGGGCATTCATAGACATTTGGAAAGCAGAATCAGTTTTTCAGCCAAAACCTTCTCTACCAAACAAACAATAGGTAATGAGTTTCATACATGTCAGATAAAAAAAAACAGATTTGTGAGAAGTAATTTTGGAATGGTTTGTCACATTCTACACAACGGCTGGATTTGCAGGAAGCGATACTGGAACAGCAGCAAAAAGAAAGGAATGAAACCATCTTCCACCGGACTTGTATGTTCTGCACTGAAGAATTCACTGGAAATAGGTCAGTATTGTACTTCTACTACAGCCTTGTCTGACATGGGAAGGACAGGATATTGCACATTGTTGAATCTGAAAAAATATTTGAGAAGACGTACATTTATGTAATTGTTTTAGTATACAGTACTAGATATGCAGTGGATTAATTTGAAATGCCACTTTTTTCTTTAACTGGGGGGGATTGGATATCAAACTTGTACAGGACTAAGACTAAAGTACAGGGCTTTTTTCTGGAATCTGGGATATCACACTTGGTAGACCACTTGTCGCCCACCTGGATGACAAATATTGGGAACCATGGCCACAACATCAGTAAGCAGACCTCCATTCTCTTGTAAGACTGATCAGGCGTTAATTTTGAGTAATTACAGGAATGTTTTCTGACTTTTATCAGGGTTTTTCTAAGCTTTAGAGCAGGGATTGGTAACCTACTGCATGCCTGCTTTTATTGGCACACAAATGGATTTTTAATGGCACGTGCAATAAAAGTAATAACCCACAAATAAATTAAGTTAGGAAAACAATTTAAAACTATGCTTGAGTTTTTTATGACATTCCACTGAAAGAAAGCTCTTTGGCATAAAAAACGATTCACTTGGTTCATTTACTGTGTTATTTTTAGCTGCACTAGCCTATTTCTGGACACACCACTCAAAGTGCTTTACAGGTAATGGGGGACTTTTCTCCACCACCACCAATGTGCAGCACCCACCTAGATAATGCAACAGCAGCCACTGAGCTTCAGTATGCTCTGAGAGAGTGATGAAGCTGGTTCACTGATGGGGAATATTAGGAGGCCATTATTGTTAAAGGCCAATGGGAAATTTGGCCAGGAAACCGGAGTAACACCCCTACTCTTTTCGAGAAACACCATGGTATTTTTCATGACCACTAAGAGCCAGGACCTCGGTTTTACATCTCATCTGAAGGACGGTGCCTTTTTTTACAGTATACTGTCCCCATCACTATACACGGGCTGCAGGGTGAGCGCCCCTTACTGGCGGCACTAACACCTCTTCCAGCAGCAACTTTAGCTTTCTCAGGAGGTCTCCCATCCAGGTACTGGCCAGGCTCAGCCTCAGTGGGCTGCTAGTTGTGAGTTGCAAGGTGATATGGCTACTGGCTATCACACTTTTTGTGTGATATTTTTCACACTTAAGTGTAAAGTCAAACATTATGGACCAAATGGCGTTTGCTAGGCGTAAGCACAGTTCAATGTTCACTCATTTCAGCCCTTTTGGAGAGAAGAATATGGATTTCTTCAACATAAAGTCCATGCAGTTTGTCCTCTGAGTGTGTGAATAAACTGCAATTAGCAATTCTTGCAAGACACCGTGACTCTTAAAGCTCTGCTGCCTAAAATCCATGTATGGCACAACTTCAGGGGAAGATATAGCTAAAATGTTCATTACTTATTTAGGGGAAAAGGGAATAGACATAAAATATTTTCTGTAACGACTGATGGTGCCCCTGCTATGGTCAGAAAACAGTTCCCAGAGATCATTGTCGATCAATTTGGCCACTCCACAGTAAAGTTTAATTCATCAGAAAATGAATTATGTGTGCCACAATTTTGAATTAATAATGTGAGCTTAATAATGTGATGCCTACATCAGTGAAAATAGTGAATATTCTAGTTGCTCGATCTGCCTTAACTCACAGGCAGTTTTAAACTATGCTTCTTGCTTTAGATTGGAGAACTCAGCAAGGAAGAGGAAGGGTAAGAATCATACTTAATTGTAAGAGGTCATTTATTAATTTTGGATATTATATTTTGATATAAAAATTGTTATTAAACAAAATGTAAGTAGGGGCTGTTATTGATGCAACAAAATATCAATGGAATTCAAATCTGTCAAAATCTGATCGGTTGCCCAGCGTTAGAGGCCAACTGAGCTAAAACTAAATTTCTGTCTAGCTCAATTATTTTCTTCCTCTGTAGGGGCTGCTATGATGTTGAAAGTTGAGTCTACTCTAGTTAGCTCCCAAATCGCTTAATAAACACCCAGAGATTTGCACTCCCTATGAGCCTGCAGCCAAAAACATTTGCATTTCAAATTTACAGAAACATATTATGTAATATGTTTGTTGCAGTCCTTGCGATTAACAATAAAGTAAATTAAGCTTGTTTGTATAGATTTGGACTGATCTGTGTGTCATATGTAAAAACCATGCAGAGGAAGAAGGCTCTGTAACTGTAACTTTTTATGAATAGTAAAACAATGAATTCAGCAAACTTTGAATGTCTAACTTTGAAGTTCTAGGTTCATCAGCATGGAAACTATTTTATTTTCCTTAGAGCTAAACTTGATAGTTATCTAAAATATTATGCCACCTGTGTATTTTAATACCCATTAGGTCTGAATTTAAATTAAATTAGAAAAGTGTTAGGCTGTTGTACTAAATCAACCACCCCCCATTATGACATCACTTGAGAATTCTGTATCTGTAAAGAAAGAACCAGAAATAATCTTTACTTTTTTATGAGATTCCCTCCCTATATGTAGCACACTTTAGGATCCTTTGGGATGAAAAGCATTATATAAATCCAAATAAATGTATTGTTGTTGTATTTGAACTAACATTAATTGCAGTTGGTTGATTTGATTAAGTTTGGTTTGAAAGTCAGCTGAACTCACTGATTATCCTGCATGTATACCTATATTTTTCTTCTTTCAAGGTCTTTTCTTCTTAACCATATGGCGAAAGAGCATGACTTCAATATGGGGCTTCCCGACAACATTGTGTTCTGTGAACAGTTCCTTGACACACTGCAAAGAAAACTTGACAAGTACGTTTTTTCTATGAGATATTCAAAGAAATTATGCACTAATGTCTTTTCCCCTGCATTTAAGAATTTCTGTTTTATCAAATTAATTATAGTTCTTCTAAAGACATTGTCCCATATCTGTTATGTCAATAGAGAGATTTAGAAATTCTTTATTAGTGGTTGACAAGAAGTAATGTTATTCTGAGACTGTTGCATCTCAGAAAATGAAATATAATATTCTTGCCACTAACAAACATTGCAAACACAGACTTGGAGATTATTAATGTTATTCACTAGGTAAAATGAAAAAAATAATTATTTACTACCAATAAACATTGCAAACATATTGAATTGGAAGAATGTTCTTGATAGTTTGATAACCCTATGCTGCTAGTTTCATGTCATTATACCTGCTTGTGTGACATACAGTGTATCCATACGAAGAACAATCTTGCAGCACCAAATAGCGAAGAAGTGGGTTTTATCATTAATGCATCATGTTTGTGGTTTTACAACATGGAATTTGTAAGCAACATGGTAGAGTACAGGACTACAAATTAGTGAAAAGGCTTTCGCATGTATAATCAAGGCCAAAGGAAAGCCTAAGAACATTTCTTAAGGATAGAAATATACTTAAAAGTAAAATACAAGACAAGAAAACAAGAGCCTTTAGAGTCCTATCTAAACACACAGGTTGTTCTACAAATAGCCAGTAAGGCTTTTCCCTCAAATTACATAATACAAGGTAATAAATCAGTCAAACAACCAGCAAAATGTGTTGCTGTTGTTGCTGAATTTGCTCTTCTTCACTGATATCTCTATTTGTTTTTGTATTCTTTCTGCTCCCTTCCAGCTTTCTCCTGTTATTGTCTGGTCACCTCCTTTTGTAGCCAATTACCCTTCTCCTTCCTGTTCCTGGATGGGTGGTGGGACATCCAGTTTATCAGTGAACTCTTCACATAGCAGGCAGAATGTGTGTTTGGGGGTCTTAGTCAAAACCCTAAACCTCAATCTTTCCAATTTATGATTCCATTCTAACATTGAAACAAGGTTTACATTAAAGGCTATGGTTTAGGATAACATTTAGAGTTTAAGCTAGATGAAATGTAGTGTAGAGTGAGTGTGAGGGTTTAGATTTCAGGCTAGTGAAGAATGGTCATTACAAATAAATTCAAGTCTTGGTGTAAGGTAAGAGCTAAGGATAAAGCAAGGATTAAGGCTTAAGATGTTGAGGCTATAGTTAGGGTTATGTTTCAGCTAAAATTATGGACGGTCAAGTTTAAAGTTGTAATTTTGGTATCGAGTTAATGGTAGCACTAGAGTTAGGTTTAGGTTTCACTTAGGGTTAGGCTTAAAATTAGAGGTAAAATGAAGTGTTGAGCAATAGCAATGTGCTCCAGCTTTTATTAACCAATTTAATATTAAGTCTAAAACAATGCTGAATTTCTTACTGTATACATACATCTGGAGTTAAAAATATACCTAGAATGTTTAAATGTTTAACTTTTTAACTCTCTAAATATTTACACTTCTTGTGTCTTTGTATTTCTGTTTTAAATGGTAACAGTTTCTAAACATTTTTAACTAAATTTTCTTCATTACAAAGTCAATACTTAGAACTTAATTTATACTAGGAAAGTGGGTCAGTTAACTTTGAACAGAAAGAAATGAACCCCAAATGATCTGTGGTATTAAAGGAATGTGCTGGGGTTTTTTTCCACTTTGGAAATTCAGATCAAATAGAAAGTACTGCCATAGTTTCCTCTAATGTGATACATACTGCATAGTTGCATGAATTATTTAATACAATTATGATCACACATCAAATTAAAATTCCCATTCTCTGTTCTTGATCCTTACCACTTTTTCCATAATTTTCATGCATGGCACATCCATTGTCTGTATATTGTCTTTTGTGTAATAAAACGTGATTAGAAAACCAAAACGCCCCCCTGTACTTTTGATGTTGTTTCCATGCAGCGACAGGTAGATGTGCTTTATGCAGGTGTGAGGAGTAGGCAGACATAAGTGTCTTTTATTGTTGTGATAACTAGGAGACATTGACATGTGGCTTTGGAACTGGTGACAAATGAGGCCTGCACCAGCTGATAAATGTTCAATAGCCTCTTTTCAATACTTTCTGAGGTAGGGTACATTTGAGGAATTCTGACTTTATTTGCATATCAGCTTATTTTATTTAAAATTAATATGGAGCTTTTTTCTACTTCTTTTTTTCTACTTATGACACTTTTATGTTGTATTACTATTGAATATAGAGTATAACAAGAATTTCTCAGTAGACTTCGGTAGACTTAGTGAACATTTAGGCTTCTATTGCAAAACTTCAAGCCTTATATAAACAACTACATTAATCTGTCTATCCATCCATTTTCTAACCTCTTTATCCAATTCAGTGTCACAGTGGTGCACACTAAAATTGATAATTAGGAAAAATTCAAATATAATCACAAAAGCAAAGAATCTTTTTGGATTTTATTCTGTTAGGATAGGTAAATAGAACACCCACCAAAAAGTTATTTAGGTGCTGTCCAGTCAAAATTGGTAAAGGTGGCAAAATCAACTGGGCATATACAGGTACTCTACTCCAAAATAATTAATTCATTAACATTTGTCTAAGTTTTTTCATACATATCTTCATCAGGACATAACATTGACAAATGTTAATTAATTATTTAGGATAAGTAAACACTCTTTTTATTACAAACCTATTGACCTCATTTAAAATAACCTGTAACCAGAGCTTCTTCAAATCCTTGCTAATGTAAGTTCAAGATCCAATTAATTTTCATGTCACACAAAGTTTGACATATTAATCTAAATTTAAGGAGCAATGTCACGTTTTATATTTCTTCTCACACTTCGTCTGTTTTTAAGGAATATGTGAAAACAAAGTGCAGTGATTAGCATTTAGTTGCCAGTTTATACTAAAATTACATAGGGAGAAAACATTATGCTGTTCACTAATTAAATCCTTTAGTATCTAATCTTTAGTGTTTAGATAATTACTCTAACATTCATCTCTATCTTATTTATTAAAAAATGATCTAACTTAGAAACTTTTAATTCAAACTTAATAGTTGACCTCTGGTAGTTTTGAATATACAGTATTAATTACCATCATATTTTTAATTCTCATAACGCAGTCAAGATTTAGGATTTAATAAAAGGGCTCCCTCTAGTGGAAGATAGTTTGAAAGTGCAGTTTACTTGGGCGCTGTAAGATAATGTGCCTTTTTCCTAAAATTTAGCAGCTAAAACTACACTCAACTGATAATAGCTTAGCAATGCTAGAAAGATACATATGCTAAATACATTCAAATGTAGCCATAAGAAAGTATTTCCAGCATGATTATTTCTTTAGCAGTTTATCTTAAACATTTTTGTGAGATGAATGACAATGTCTTTCTGAAGTTCTTAGATCTT